CCCCCCCCCCCGCAATAACCCACCAGGAAAACCGCTACAACGCGACAGGGGGAGGAGGCGTTGCAGTTCTCAGGCCAGCCTCACCCGAGAGTACGCTTCTCCTATTCACTCACTCCTCGGCTAACAGCAAACTAACAAGACAACATTTTCAAATGCAACAGAAAAACCCAGGAACCCGGGAGGAGGAGGAGGGGGGGGCTGCTTTTTCTCTGCAAACATCACAGCGATTCCCAGCCTACAAAAGGGGAGGGAGGGGCAGCGGCGAGGGGCAGGCGAGCTCTAGAAAGTCCCACTTCCGCTGCTCCGGACTTTTTGCTTTTGTACAAAACCCGACAGCTACGGCAAAACTTTCTGTCCTCCCCATCATCGGTACAAGGCAACGGTCCCAGGCAAGCAAAGCTAAACAACAAGGCGTCCCAACTCGGGGGTGCGGGGCGGGATGGGGGCGGAGGGGCGGCGCGCGCAGGCGGGCGCTCAGATGTGGGTCAGCGGCACCGTTCCGTTGACGGCAGTCCCAGCGCCCTGGTAGTGCTGGTGAACGCTGTGCAGGCGGCCGCCAGGCAGCGGCGAAGCGGCGTCAGCCGCGTCCCCGCCGGGTGGCAGGTACATGCTGATCATGTCGCGCAGGTCGCCGAGGCACGCACGCTGCGAGTGCGACGTGATGGCGGGCGGCGGCGAGCTGGGTTCGGTCTTCACCACCGTGCCCATGGGGCCCAGGCTCATGGCGGCCGCGGCGGCGGCGGCGGCGGCGGCGGTGGCGGGCTGCTGCCCGTAGGCGGCGGCCGCGGCGGCGGCGGCCGAGGGCGCCATTCCCCCGTAGCCCGAGGCGGCGGCGGCGGCGGCGGCGGCGTTCATGTAGCTCTGGGCGCCGGGCGGCATCATGGGGCTGTACTGCAGGCCGGCCATGTCGTAGCGGTGCATCTGCGGCAGCGCGGGCGGCGGCGGCGGGCTGCTCATGGTAGCGGGCTGTGCGTAGCCCAGCTGCTCCTGCACCAGCGAGTACGCGCCGTTGGCCCAGCCGTTCACGTGTGTGTACGTGTCCAGGCGCTGGCCCACGCCCACCGGGCTGCTGGCGGCGGCGGCGGCGGCGGCGGCGGCGGCCGCGGCGGCGGCGCCGGGGGGCAGCAGGCCTCCGGGCAGGGAGTACTTGTCCTTCTTGAGCAGCGTCTTGGTCTTGCGGCGCGGCCGGTACTTGTAGTCCGGGTACTCTTTCATGTGCACGGCGCGCAGTCGCTTGGCCTCGTCTATGAACGGCCGCTTCTCGGCGTCGGTCAGCAGTTTCCAGTCGGCGCCCAAGCGCTTGCTGATCTCGGAGTTGTGCATCTTGGGGTTCTCCAGGGCCATCTTGCGCCGCTGCCCACGGGACCACACCATGAAGGCGTTCATGGGCCGCTTCACGCGGTCCTGGTCGCTGCCCCCGCCCCCGCCACTCGAACCCCCGCCGTTGCCGCCGCCTGCGTTCGCTCCGCCGACTGCGTTCGCGCCGCTCTTGCCTGCGCCGCCGGGGGCTGCGGGGCCGCCCGCGCCTGCCGCTGGGGTGGGTGGCCCCACGGGGTTCTTGAGCTCGGTCTCCAGCAAGCTGTACATGGCCGGGGCGGGAAGAAGGTGCGCCAGAGTGGCGGGAGGAGAAGGCGCTCCCGGGGCTGGAGCGGCCACGGTGAAAAGGCCTGGGGACTCCGTCGGAGGGGCGCTTGGGGGCCGGGGGGCCGGCGGGTCAGGCGGGAAGGGCAGGCTTGCCAAAGTGCTCCGCGCCAAGTCGGCAGGAACCCGCAGGCTGGTCGCACCTGATGCGTTGTCTCGAGCTGGCCGCATTCGCAGTCTGGCCAGGCGCTCGCCGGGTCCCTTATATACCTGCTCGGATCCCCCGGGGTTGGGACTCGGTCCGCCCCTCGCCACCGGGAGGCCGGGTGATTGACAGGCTCACAGTGATGCGCCCTGGCCAATCATCACGGAGTCCCCGTTCGGCCCCACTGGAAAAAAAAAGTTCGGGGAGCCCTTTCGTTCACCCCCGCGCCCCTCTGGGGCCCGGTGACGTGATGAGAGTTATTCAGGAGGCGGGAGTCCCGGAGAGCCGCTCAGAGACCACCAATTAGGGTCTCAAAAAGTTTGAAAGAACGAAACTCGAGGAGGTGACGGAGGGGGGAGGGGGCGCGTGAGCAGGATTGGGGGAAGGGGGCAGAGGGGCGCCCACGGGGTTCAGAAAACAACTTTGCAGCCCCGTCAGGGCCGAGCGGTGCCTGGTCTCGGGGCCACCCTGCAGAGCATCCCGCTGTCTGCGCGGAGGTCCTCCGACTGCTTCTGCTGCGGGCATCGCCAGTTACCCGGGCGATCTTGGGGACGCCGGACGCAACAGAGGCGCCCCGGGTTGCGGCTCCGAGAAGCGCTCCCAGGAATCGGCCCCTGGCCCAGTAGGACCCTCTGCGGGGAAGCCGCGGGCCTGCGCGCCGAGGATGGAGCCGGGGTCAGGGACCGGGGCACGGGAGACAGGCTTCAGGACCGCGGAGCGCACAGGGGCTGTGAGGCTCTCCGCTGGCTTGAGTGAAGGCGAGCAGTCAGCCGCCTGCTGCCGGGGCCGGGCCGAGGCGCTCACAAGCGGTGGTGCGGAGAGTGTGTGTGGGGCGGAGGGGGTGAACCGGCCTCGGCTCTCTCGCTCCAGGCCCCCGCTTAGCGGCCCCTTTTTGTCTCTGCTCTCTGGCCATTTCGGTTTTTCCAGTCCGATGCCCCTGAGGGGGAGGGTCGGGCCCCTTGGAAAATCCGTTTTCATGGCAACACGGAGCCTCTCCAAGTGAAAGAAAAGTTTCTTGGAGGGGGGGACGGTGGCCGGAGAGGAGCCGAGGCCGTCCTCGGGGCGGACCGCCGGGCCCCCTCCACTGGCCGCGCACCTGCCAGGACCACTGAGCGCTGCTCTCGCTGCGCAGCCGCGCCGCCTCCCCGGGGAGCAGTCTCTGCTAACGGATTGCGTCCTTCTTCTTTTTTGTTTTACAGCCGCCGTCCTGGCCAGAGCCTCGAGACTCGGAGCGGGACACTCACCCGCATGTCATGCTGTCTGCCAAAGACTAACGTCTCGGGAACCCGGGCTGCAGGGAGAGGGAACCCGGACAATCGCCTTCGCCAGCCCAAGCGAGTGGCACAGCGTTTGAAACTCCCTGAGCCGCCCGAGGCGGCGGGTGGGAAGGAGTAGCCGGCCAGGCAGAAGTGGCAGAGACTGAAATAAGGTGTCCGCGCAGTGTGGTCCCCCACCCCCAGCCTCGTGGAAGGATGGGGAACCGAAAGAAAAGCGTAAATCCTAAATGTGACCAAAAAAATACAAAAACCCAGGTTTTTAGCTCCTTAGTGCTAATGCAAGACCAGGAGACCCTGGGACACCTGCACGCTGGGAACTCCCCCCTTTCCTGCACGAATTTAAAAGTATACCGTTGTGACTTGGGGGGGGGTGTGGGTGGCGTAGAGCAGGCCAGCCTCCTCTGGGGTGGGCAGACCAGTGGCGCTAGAATCCTGGCTCTCAGCAGGCATCATCCCCTCGAAGTTTGGAGTCCCTAAACCAGCCCCTTAAGTTTGGATTCCACCTGGTCTACGTTCTCTTGCTTTTCTGGATGGAAGGAAGCAAATGTCCACGGTCAAGGGCTGCTGTCATTTGAATGGGTGTATGGCTTACGGTTTTAAAGTAAACTATCTGGAATGGTTCTGTGTATGAGTCGTGTGTGTGTGTGTGTGTGTGTGTGTGTGTGCGCGCGCGCGCGCGCGCGCACGTGCACGGGTGTGCACACTTAAGCTGACACACTGGAAAACGTGTCTCAGAAAACGGAATGATTTGGCAATCTCCACCTGCACATGCTTTTTTTTTTTTTTTTTTTTTTTTTTTTTTTTTCAAACTAGCTCACAAAGTCAAATTTTCCTAGGCAAACCCACCTTCTCCCAAAGAAGTCAACGTGCGGTAACTCTGCCCCTTGCCGCCTTCTCCAGAACGCCTTTCCTGCTCTCTGGGCCTCCGAGGCTGTTGCTAAGTGAAGCGCGTTTTAGGAAACTACCCAACCGACGCGGGGCCTGGCGTCCAGTAGCCTGACAGATGTCAGGATTCTTTCCAAGTTTTAGGACCCAAGTAAGCCGTTGTGGTGACAGCGCCTGGGCTGCATATTTCCCAAGCCGAGGGATGCGGTGCAGGGTCTGTTCTCCTCCCCGCAGCAGATTATCTGGGGACTAGTCACTGCTCCCCAGCCGTTTGTCATTTGATCACAACTAGCCCGAGGCTTAGGTGAGTTCACGTTCCCATTACATCCTTCCGCCAGTATCCAGCCGGGACAGACATCTCCCACACCCCAGGCTTCCCTCGGAGGCCGCGATTAAACCGGTCTCTGTGCCTGGTGGCTCTGGGGTGGTCTGCACAGCCCCATGTAGGAGTCACGCCGAATTTCCTTCAAAACATTCCCGAGGAAGCGTCCTCAACCCAAACTACCATCTCAAGAGTCGAGCGAGGTTACCATTACAGGCGTGGGGAGGTGGGGGGAAGTCTGGAAGTCTGGGCGCTACCTTAGCTGGGCGGCAGGAGAAGTGGTGCGGCAGGTGCTAAGGCCCGAGGGGCCTAGATGCAGGCGGGGGATGCGGGCAGGCGAGACCGCCAGCGGCGCCAGAATCTGTGTCTTCGACACCAACTCTGCACCGAGTGAAGAAAGCAGAGGGACACAGCGGGATCCAGGACCAGTCCTTTCGAACCTCTTCCCGAGAGGAGAGCGCGTCCGGCAGCTCTCTCGCCCTTTAGGGCCTCCAGGAACCCGTGGCGGCACACAGAGCCCCGGATGGCGGGCTGGGAATCCGGCCAAGCACCCCCTCCCTATTCCCCCGGCCCTCCCATGAGAGCTCGGGCTCCCTCCGACTGGGGCTGGGGCTGGGACTCCCAAGACCCAGGGCGTGGCAACAGCGCCGTTTGTTGGCTTCGGCTGGAAACTTCACCTAGAGGCGCCCCTTCCCGCCCTCCGGGGCTTCGGGGTCGCCCCAACCCTTCAAGGAGAGGCAGCCGGTTTCGCCGCAGGGCAGAAGTGGTGCTTATCTTTAGAGGGCTGGTTATCACAAAAGGCTGTAGCGCGTTGGCCAGGCAGGCTCGGGGTGCATAGTGCGCTCGCACTCTCCCGTCCTCCGGTTTTGAGCCTTGGCAGAAATCGGGTGCCCCGGGGGCCTCATACCTGCAAAGCACACTTTGAGCAGTTGTGCCTTAGAGCTACTGGTAGAGAGAGCAGAGTAGGCGAGGGGCTGTCCCATCACTCGCGGGGCCTGGGGTAGGGCGTTGATTCCTTCTCAGCTCATGGGGGATCCTTTTCAGGGTCTTTGGCTCCATTAGGACCCAACTCTTGGAAGAGATGTCCTTTGCGTCCATCTAGGGAAGGGGCGGCTGTGTGTGGGTACCTGCTCTGGGGACTGAGGCCTGACCGTAGGATTGAACAGTCAGTAGCCCTTTTCAAGGGGAGCAGAACCCAGAAAGCGGTCTGGTTTTGAGTGTGCGTTAAAACTTATCCTGGTGACCCTCAGAAACGCTTTGCTTTCCAGCTGGGGGGGGGGGCGGGAAAAGTTTGCTTATCCTCTTTCTTCTGAACATCCCTTGATTATTTACTCTGGCTGCTAGCCAAGATTGTGTATTTAGGCCAGATGGAGGGCCTTGATCAAGAAATCGGAGGCTGGGGTCTGTTGTAGAACCATCTCTTATTAAAGGTTGGAAAGGTCACCAGCACTCCAAGGAGATGCAAGGCACAGGACCTTCTAGCTCCCCTATCGTTCAGTTGGTTCCTCCTCCCCCAACCGCAGGAACCCCTTCCCCCCTCTGCAGCTTCCAATGAAACACGTGTTCACACAGTTTGGGAAGGAACTGAAGATTCTAGGCTGGTAGGTGTAGGTGGCAAACAGTAACCTAGTGGATGCTTTCTAGAGGAAGGTTTTACTGGGAGCTACCGAGGTGTGTGGTGACATGGTCCTGGGCGTGCCAAAAAGTCTTCTGTGGGCAGGCAGCACAACTGTTATTCACTTGCTCTGTGGCGTAGCCATTTGGGGGAGGGAGCGTGAGCTTTTTTAAAGGCGAGTTTCCGAATCCGATTCACTTGCTTAGCTGAGCTGCGCTGGACAGATACACTAGGAATCCCCCTGGCCCACGCCTTGGCGCGCAGTTGCAAAGACCCCTTCCACTCTCACAGGGTATCACAGGACACTAATGGCCAGCCCTCTTTTCCGTAGGCGCGGAGCAACTGCAGGGAATTTGACCACCTTTGCCTTCGGCGCCCTCTCGCCGACCTCACAGCCCGAACACTGCGATCTCCCCAGAGGAAGGCAGGCCCTGCCCGGGAAACGGGTCCCACTTCCAGAGGGTCTTCCGGGTCACTGCTGTCGACCTCTACGCCTCCCCGCGCCCCCACCCCTCCCCGTCCGCAGCTCTCCGCACGCGCTCAGCCTTTCACGCCGCCCGAACAGTAACCCGGCGGCCGAGCAACCTCCGGGAACCCGGCACCCTACGGCCAGGCCTGCCCTCCCACCGGGCCTCTGGCCTTTCCCACCACCGCCTTCGGTGGCTGCAAAGGCAACGCCCCATACGGCGGCGAGGGTGGCCTGCCGGAAGCCGGGGCGGGGACAACAATCTAAAAATCGTTGTCGGTACGTAACGTCGTCTGAGTTACTCCACACGTTTGTGCCGCCAGCTGGGGGCCACGGGTCCGCCGGGCCGGGAAAGTACTCCCCGGGGAAGGGTGTCCGGAACAGCACCGGACCAACAGGCGACGCCATCCGCCCCGACCGCTGGGGGCGCAAGACGATGGCGGGCCGGGGGTAGGGGAGGG